ATATATGAAAAAGCTAAGGTTTAAGTGACTTGCCTAACACTACACAGCTAGTAAGTATGCAAATTAATTACTTCAGTATTCATAAGTCACTACAGTTCTCACTTGAGGAAGATTTGTTATAATTTCTATAACATAAAATCTTACAAAAATTAGCATGTACACAGTGATGAGATATAGTGCTGTCATATTATAGTTATTCAAAAATTATACTTCTGCCCTGGTAGATTATAACTTTTTTAAAGCATTAAGTTCTTGACTTATTTACACATCCTTGCTTCTCCAAATTCATTTAATGCAGGAGAGAAAATCAGTAAGCACTTATTGAATAAGTAAATGAATAATAAGGTTAAAGTTAAAATATATTCAAAATGGACTGCATTCTTTAGCTACCACTTATTTATTTATCCAGTCAACTAATATTTATTGAGTAACTACTATTTGTCAAGGACTGTCACTGGTACCAAGGATATAACATTAAACTAAATAAACTATTCTTTTTCATAGACTTTACACTATTTGAGGAAAAATTCACTTGATTTTGCAATTAGAAGGCTTAAAATGAACCTGAATCTTGATATGAGTAAATATGGTTTTTTCTATACACATTGGACTTAATACAACAACTGTGAACTCCTATAACCATACAGACTAACGAAGAGGCTAAACAAAATCATGGAACATAGAAGCAAGATGATAGGGAGTAAGGAGAAAGTTGTCTGGCAAAGAAAAAATGCATATTACTGTGCACGGGATTTCTACTCAACTGTCAAGGAACAAATAACTCCTATTTTATATAAATAATTTCATAAAAGAGAAAAAGAAAGGATGTTCAACCATTTTAAGGAGGCTAACATAACACTGACTTATAAACCATATAAGGAAAATACCAAAAATATAAAAAGAAAAAAGAAAGAAAATTACAGGCCTGTGTTACTCATGACTATAGATACAAATTTAAAAAGTAAAAATTAATTAATTAATTAATTAACAAATAAGACTTAAATTCTACAGGATGTTTTAAAAAAGAGCAGTAATGCATCTCCATCAAGTTGGATTTATCACAAGAATGAAAGTTATTTAATATCAGAAACACCTATCAATGAAATTTATATTTATAAACTAAAAGATAAAAACCACAGAATTATATCATATATTTGGAAAATATATTCCATAAAATTCAACACTCATTTATGTTTTTATTTTAAAAAATTCAGGAGCTTAGGAATGACTGGATGAATATTTACCAAAATCCTATTGCAAACATCAGTTAAAGGAAAAACCAGAGATACTCTCTTTAAGATTAGAAATCACACAAGAATGGCCACGATCACCTTACTAAACAACCAGATAAGGATGATCCTGGTGAACATAATAAAGGAATAAAAAGAACAATGAGATATATAAATAGAAAAAAAAGAAATAAAATTGATATCTATATACATTATGATCAACTATACAGAAATCTATCATAAGCCAGAAAACAAGTCATAAGAGTTGAGCCAAGTTGCCAGATGTAAGGTTAACATACAAAAGTCAATAGTGTTCCTCAATATCAGCAATAAGTAATTAGAAACTAAAATAGAAAATAACAACAAAAACTGTCTTTTTGCTATTAACCTAATGAAGAATGCCAAAAACTATTAACATAGAAAAAAGATCTATTAAATAATTTAAAAGTAGATCTTAATTCTTTCATGAATGAGATGACTCAGTATTATAAACATTTCAGTTCTTCCCAAAATTTATGTGTAATTTTAATCAATTCAAATCAAAATTCTAGAAGGACTTTTTTATGAACTCAGACTGATTCTAAAATATATGTTGAAAAATAAAGATCTATAATAATGAAAGCAATTTAAAAGAGGAGAAGTGAGAAGGGACTTCTTTTTATCATTTATGTAGAGGTATTACAAAACCAAATAAAATATATTATAGAGCTGAGAAATAGATTCATGTAAATATGGGTATCTAGTGTACCAGAGGTAAAACAGGAATCACTGGTGATGAACAAATTATATAGTACATGGAGTTGGTAAAACTGAATTCACCATATAGAAAAAAATTAAGTTGGAACTATATTTCATACCATATACAGTGGTGAACCCAAGACAGATCAAAACCAAAATGTAAAGAGTAAAATGTAAAAGATAACATAAGGGAGTGCCAATGACATTAGAATAGAGAAGGATTTTTTTTAAAAAAGAAAAAATCATAAACTACATAAAAGGTTAAAATTAATGGATTTGATTCTATCAAAAACAGTAATTTCTGTTTCATGACAAATAACAGATGTAGTTTAGTGTATGATGACAAGCTGGAAAAAGAAAACATAACATCCTAAACTGTCAATATCTACCATATGAAAGAAATATCTGAAATTTCTTTTTTTGGCAAAAATAAAAAATTAAAACTGAAACAAGAAATCTTGAGAATATCATGTTAAGCAAAATACATCAAAAAGTTAAGAACCATATGATATGGAATACTACGTAGCAGAAACAAAGAGAGAGCTAATACCCTTCGCAGCAGCATAGATGGAACTGGAGAGCATTATGCTAAGTGAAGTAAGCCAGGGGGTGAAGGACAAATACAATATGATCTCACCTATAAGTGGAACCTAATCAATAAAATAAACAAGCAAGGTAAATATAACCAGCAACACTAAAAGAAAACAGAAACCAAGAGTAACATCAGGGAAGGAGGGAGAGCGGTAATAGGGAAAGGAAGGGGAGAGGTCAAGGAGCATATATGAAGGACCCATGGACAAAGCCAAAGTGAGGAAGGATGGAGGGAGGGAGGTGGGGGTGAGTAGGGGCAGGGGAAAGTGGTGGCGGGAAAATGGAGACTAATGTATTTGAACAATAAAAAAATAAAAATTAAAAAGAACCATATAATCTCACTCATACGTGGAATATAAAACTGAAAGCAATAAATACACAAATAAGAAAAACAAAAACTCATAGACACAGGTAACTGTATGGTAGTTACCAAAGGGAAGGGAGGTGGAAGATAGTAAAGGGTAAAGTGGGTCAAATTTATGGTGACTGAAGAAGATTTGACTTTGGATGGTGGGCACACAATGTAATATACAGATGATGTATCATAGAATTGTAAACTGGAAGCCTATATGATCTTACTAACCAATGTCACCCCAATAAATTTAAAATTTAATTTTTAAAAAGGTATCACTGTGAAACAGAAACAAACAAAAATTTTCACCTTTTCTACATATAACAGGCTAGACATTTCAGAGGGGGAAAACTATGATTATCTAGGTGCTTCACTAACAAAAAAAAAGAAAAGAAATCCAAAATCCAATATAAAATTGAAAAAGGTTAAAGAGGAGCAGTTTAAAGAAGACAAATCTTAAATGATCAGTAAGTCTATAAAGAGAAACGCAGTGTTACTAGTAATCAGAGAAATGTAAATTATAACAAAGCTACCATTCAATATTCATCAGATTAACAAAAATCAAGAATTAGTGAAATTAAGTATTATATGTATACCTTATACCCAGAAATTCCACTCTTAGGCATAGAAATCATAGAAAAACAGAAGTTCATAAGGGGATCATATTTGTTACAGAAGAATGTTAGAGGCAATTTAAGTGTTGATCATCAACGTAATAGATTAATTAAAGCACATCAAATACAAACCATCAGTTAACTATCATTCAGAAGTGTGAGGCAATGAGTTAGATATACAGATAACAAGGATAGATATTATAAATGGTGTTGAACTTAAAAAATACAAGAAACAGAACTAAATCCATAAGACAACACCATTTGAGTAAATCAAAAACACCTTCATATACAAAAATCACTATTTTTCAAGGAACAAACACAACCATGACCATAAATTAAACATATTAGAGCTAGTTGAGGATAGAAGACAATTGGGCTTGTGGATAGGAAATGAATAGGAAAAAAATGATAAAATAAAATATAAATGATGGCTTTGTATGAAATAGTGTGCCACAAATTAAGATATATATGATTTCTTTAATTCCCTATACATTAAGTTGAAAAAAATTGTCTACTTATTCTAAATGCCTTGATACAACTCAATTATATTCTGCTTCATCTATATATAACAAGGAATTAGAGATGGTAAAAAGAGTGGAGAAAAGGAGAGGGGAAGAAGGAACTGGAGACCAAGGAAGACTGAAAGGAAAGAGAAGAGAGGAGAGAAAGCTACCAGGTCTTTTCTCAAATTAATGGAGAGCACACAAAATACCGCAGGCCATGGCATCCACAGACCAGTCTCAAACCGTCTAGTGATGTACCAAGTGACACTATGTTAAATAAATGAAGAAGGAAAATGGATAACAGACTGGATAATAAGATATACCCAGACTTATTTTGCTTATTAGCATTATAGTAATAACAACTTGATAGAAGCTTCCCTGAACTTTGCTATTAATAAAAAGTCAATAATGGGCTTCTCTCATCAATTTGTCTTTAATCATACTTTAATGTCAACATTTAATTTTTTTTGACTGGCTTTGTACGTATCTTTGTGTCCGCATGTGGGTATACTACCAAGATGGAGATGAGTTCTAGCTCATTTATTAGAATATCATTAACACCCATAAAATTTCCCCCAAAGAGGTTCATCTTTCCTATGCTTTGTATGACAAAAGGAATAACTATAATCAGTAATAAAAAAAGTTTTCACAAATATCATTTTAATATGTAAGGATAGGCTATTATTATTTAAATAACTGCATTATTAAATTCAGAACTGAAATCTGAACATGTAACTATTTTTAGGTATAATCCAATAACTTGTTGACTAATAGAAATTAATGTTACTAGTTATAACATATAACAAACATAAAAGATTCAAGAATACCAGGAAGATATTTTTATAATTAATACTTGTTAAATAAGTTTCTCTTTTCTTATTCTTAACAATAAACAGAAAAATTATCAAAAATGAGAAAGCAGAGTTTAAAATCAATATATATCTTTATCAGGCAGAGCCAGCTAAACACTTACCAGGACAGAATATATGTGTAGACACCGATAAACAGGAGAGAAATCCACCAAATCTTGGGCCCCAGGTACCTGCAAAACAATCAAGATTGTCACAAAATATTCAAACAAAGCTATTAACAGCAACTGCATCAGATTTACTACTCAACTGTTTAAAAAAAAAAAAAGATTAACTCTAGCTTCTAAGAGAGGAACACAAATCAAACAAACCAACCATGGCCCCAGAAGCCTAGTTTTGGGCATTTTGGCCATGTGCTTAATAAACGCCGAGGCTAGGACACAGAATAGAAGGATGGGTAACAGAGAGGAGGAACAGGTGTCACTGGTCCTGCATCTGTTTTTAGAGATACAATTGATACATTTTAGGCCATGGGCCTGCAAATGGAAAGGAAGATGAGGATGTGACTTTGAAAGTTTGACTTTGCCTTCTTAGATTCATGGTAGTCCACATAAAAAAAACTACATTTCAGTGGTCAAAACAAAACTTGTCACAGAGGATGAATTAAACAACCAGCCAGCCAGCTTCTGAAGGGTCAAGAATAATTCTTGACCATTTAAGTCACAATGCAATCAAAATACAGAAATATGCTAGGAAAGGAAGGGAGATCATGTAAAAACTAAGGTAAAAAGCAGGAAAGCCAAACCTACAAGTAATACCAGCAAATACGATATGAACAATGCATATAGATTAAACCTAGATATCAACAGAGAAAGTAAAACATAAAACATCATGTAAGAAATAGAGTATAGTCAGTGCTAAAACCAATTTGTTATGTGACCTGACAACAATAAATCACAATTTACTTGTCCTTAATTTCTTCAGCTGAAAAAGAAACTATCGACTGACCTATAGGAATTTAGTAAGAATAAAAAAAATGACTGAATGTAAACATTGAACAAAACAAAAAGCAAAGCAAAAAAGATAAAATTACATTAAAAAGTAATTCTTAAAAAAGATGTAGCTGAAGTCTTTACTGTAACACTGGTAATTGTATGAATATAAGCATCTTTATTGGTTCAACTTTATTGACAATTTTGTTCATTTGCTCGAACCCATAAAGGCGGAGATTAAATCTCTATATTTAAGAATCTCATAGTGCTATATACTATATAAGCACTCAAACTTTTATGTGAATCCAAAGATTGATAGCAAGGTCCTCAAGATCCTGCACAATGACCCAAGCAAAGTTACTGAGAAAACAGTTTATGCACAGGTGGGCATATGTAGTTACAAAAAGAGCATTAAAAAGTACATAAAAATTGCAGCTTTAAGAGTACAAATGGTAACTTATTTTTATCTTAATAACACAAAATGAAGCAACATGTGATCATTTAGGCACTCTTATTTGAAATGACCACAACATTAAGGCATCTTCACAGTCTCACCTCATTGACTGCAAAGTGGAGATTTGAAGAAGAAAATTTATTTTGTCTTTCCAGAAAACAAGAGCCTACCAGTGAAAACTATAGCTAAGGAAGAAAACCATAGCTCAGAAGAAGAAAAACAGAAAAATTTCAGAAAATTTTATGTATAATTGTATTTAAACTACACCAAAATTAAACATGCATATGAAAAAAAAACAAGAAAAATATTTTTAAAAAACCTGATCTGTAAAGGAAATGAACTCTTTTCTTTATTTAGAATTAAGGATTATAAAGTTATTTATTATAAATATATTTGAAAAAGATAAGGAAATTTCCTTACTTAATGTTGAATAAAATTTAATCACAACTTTGCTTATATGTTCTTTATGCACTTTATTTTGTTTTGCTTTGACTCTGAGCCATAGTTTCATTCAAAAGGAAACTGATTGCCTCAAGCCATTCTCTAGACAGAGCCTTGGCTCTTTCATATGTAGACCCACCCTTACAGAATAAACATCCACATTAGGGGGCAGTTTCCCTATAAATCTGTGATGAATAAGCTAATAGGGCCCCTTACTAAGGGACTAATAAGACTGGTTTATCTGGGCCAACTAAAACACACACACACACACACACACACACACACACACACACACACACACGAGACAAAGGTCTTTCCTGTCATCTCCACCAAATTTTTACAACCAAACCTATTCTCTGTGAGTCTGTCTTGACGTCATCATACTCAACCTCAAACTGTTTAAAGTACCCTGACCTGGAAATACTGGCTTTGCTATTTCTTAGCTCTGAAATCATAGTCCAGTTAAGCCCTCCTAAACACACGGCTGCCTGCTTTGAAAGCAGTACACAAAAATCTTGACAAGAAAAGATGGAGCAAAACAGGGCTTCAGTTTACAAACTTTACCTTCCTCCTCAAAACAGTCTGCTATTTAGAAATCATTTTTCCTCTGTGCTTCCTTCTGTGAGGAACACTAGGAAATCTGTGAGGAACCAAGAGTGCTGTGAGGAGAAAGGTATGTAAAGCACGCACTGACTCATGTTGCTTTGAGCTAGATGTGTTTTCTCTACTTTCACTAATGAAAAAGAATCACATCTAGGGAAACACAAAAGTAAGGGAGCAACCTACACTGTACGTGAAGGAATGCTACATGTTTGGAAGGATAAGAAATGAACTTTCAAAAATCTAAATAAATGGGGTGGGGAAGAGAACAAAAGGCAGTTTTTCTGACTCACATAGGTCTGTTTTAAGGTCCACCTTTTGCTCTCCATTTAAAATGCTAAATCTCTGTCAAAACTGTCTTCATTCTTCTTCCCCTCCTTTGCCTCTCCCTTCCCTCAAGCTGCAAGAATGATTCAAGCAGGTTTAGGTTTCAGTTGGGGCCGAGGGAGGGGTCCAAGGACACTTTCCTAAGCTAACAATGACTGTCTCTAATGGTTTCTGTCTCCTAACAAAAGCCATGACTCTGTTGCTATCAGCTTCATCTAATTTTTCCTTTCCAAAGTAAATAACACAGCTCTTGCATTTTACACATGTCCAAGTTTGACAAATCATTATTGACTGAGACTATAACTGATAAGAGATAACTTTGTGGTAGGACGTTGTCATTTCCTCTCATAAGGGCTTTCTTTCTGAGATACAGAAACATGATTAAAATAGTTAAACATTTCCTCTGCCTGGCAGTCAGGAACTCAAGACATTAAGATACTAGAGGAGGCATTTTTCCAGTTCAAATAGATCTATGAAGATATAAACCATAGCCACAAATAGTATATTCAAGATTATTCTGCTTTTTTTAACTAGTTCTTTTCCTTATGAATTCACATGAAATAATTTCATCACCAAGGACAGCAGCTGCCTAATTCTCTATATAGTTTCTGAATGGAGAACATTAGTGCCTTCTGTCAGCTCAAACCTCTTTATTTTCAGAGAAACAAGTAGTAAGTAAGATTTTAGATTCTGTAACTAAGAATCCTATGTCTCAGAGCATGTTATAATATTATATAAATTAGGATATTAAAATAATATTCTAGTAAAAGAATTCAGGGGTCTCTGGATCACAGCATTCTGAGGCAGACATAAGAAGGTAACTAGTACATTATACAATTACACAATCGCATACCCGTTAGAGATCATGTATCACTAGGTACCAATGCATATGGCTAATGTCTCTGTTTCAATACAACTTTTACATTTATATGAAAAATATTAACAACTTCCACCAAAGCAATACTTCTTAATTATTGTCTGCAAAACATTTGTTGTTAAAGACCCTGTATACAATCAATATACCAGCTATCAAATGATGCCACTATATAAATAACTAAAAAGAGTCTGGAGACAAAGGAAGATCTAAAGTAAGAAAGTAAATTTATAAATAGGATTAATGAAAGGCACATGGAAAAACAGTCTTATAAGCCCCTGCATACAATATATTTTGAGGAAAATATAAAAATTCCAAGTAGAAATGGGAATATTAGAAAGTCAGAAAAAAAAAGAACATGAACGTTTTTAATTATGAAAATTCTTGCAAAACATCAGGATCTGATTTTTATGATGTTTTTCTTCTTCTCTAATACATCTTAGGTCAGATCAAAATGTTTGAAATAAAAAGGTTAATGGGTAAGCTCCTCTCATTCAAAATTAAGAAAATGATTTAACTTACTAAAGGAAAAAAAATTTAATTTTAAAATAAGTAAAAGCATTCAGACGTTAACAGGTGCATCCATTTAGTATTTTTGTAACACTCTCTGCCCCCTAAAAAAAGGAGTTGGGAGTTAGTTACTGTTTCTACTGTCTTAAAAGACTCACTAATGAATGAAGGTAGGAAAAAAAAGTAATTGCAGGTAACAACCTGATAAATCTACCTGCTTTATTACTGGGTAAGCATACCATTAGGAAAAAAGAATAGAGTACAAGAAAAGATTGCTTGGCTCCTTCCACTCAAGAGCAGAAGCCAATGTACTGAGAAATTTAACCACGCTGCTGATAAAGATAGCACATGAAAACAGAAATGCATTAGTGCGCTCTCGCCCTGCCGTTCGCACAGCTGTCCCAGGAGATACACACAGACACAGGCCATTTATTTTCCTCTTATGAAATCTTCAAAGTAGGTGGATCGTCCATAAAGAATATGACAGAAGTTTGCAAGGAATTTAAATATGTTTCTCACTAATTATTTGAGTCATTCTCCTTCTTGAAAATGTTTGATTACCATTTTACACAAAACAGCTCCCCAGTATCTGTAAATGAATGCAGGGACTTGGTGCCCATTTCTGAGCATTAGTTGGATCTCAAGTCATTAAAGAGTACCATGCATCTTTCTGAAGGGAGAAAACAACAAATGATTAGCTGAAGGGGCATTGCCTTTGCATTTGGAGGATCAATTTTGGCTGCTCATATTATGTCTGGAAGCCAGGAAATACCTGGCAAACTTTTTCACCACTTCACTTTTCTGTCCTACTTTGCTTCCGAAACTTCAGAGAAAAGAAGGGTATAATTCATTTGGAAATAAACCTTCATAGAGCTGGACTGAACACCAACACCACATCAACAAATCAGAAGGGCCAGGATTCTGAGTGACTAGAATCAGCAAAACTATAAAGAATTTTCTAAGCCTTTGAACATATAAGAATACCCTGACTTGTGCCCTAGCCTAAAAGTTCCATGTTTTTCTATGGAGTGTCTC